GAAACTGGCAAGATTTGCTTTGAAATCAATACTTCCCCAAGAGAAGAACTATGGAACATTTTTTTCAACAAATCTTAAAAATAATAAAAACTTCTGTTTATTATTATATTAGCACAACAGGGTACATAATTTAATACTTAGGATGGAGTGCTCATCGTGTTTCACTAATCACGCAGGATTCTTTACGTACAATAGATCATTGACTCCTCATAAGAAGCATTCCTGTTTACACCTGAGAAACCTGTAGGTCCGTGAGGTTTGGTCACGGATCATACACCTACAAAGTGGCAGAGCTGAAAGTTTAATGAGTCCACGTGCCCCAGGCCCTACAATCCAGTGTATAGTGCCTGTTTATCCCCAAACCATGAAATTCCCATGATCTCATCTGTATCAGTCACATTTCTTAGTTGCAAATGGCAGTCCTGCCTGTAGCTGGATTAAGCAGAAAAGGGATTTGTTAAAGGACACTGGAAGTTTGGGGAGGGTGGCGAAAGTGGCTCAAGGTTGTTTCCAGGAACAATGCCTAAAACCACACTGAAGAACTGGGCTGGTGTAAAAAACACAAGAATGGCTGTGGCCAACATGCACTAGAAGCCAGGAACTTGAGTGCCACTGCCACCAACATTGATGCCACTTCTGGGCCAGCAGCTCCACCTGGCAGCCACTGCTTTCCTGTACCAGCCAAGTGGAACTTTCACAGAGAACCAATGCATTTCCTCCCATGCCTCATTCTGAACACATGTCTCCCAAGGACAAGTCTTGTTGGCAGTCTAGGTCAGGCACCCATTTCTGAGCATATTTAAGTGAACTAGGATTCTGCCAAGACCAGCTTCAAAGGTCTGACTTTCTGTGCTAAGAACCACATCCTCCCCAGATGAATGACAGATGCCATCATCAATATGGGTGGACTATTTGGAAGATGATGGGCAACCAAAGGTACAACAATTGTCTACCATCCATTTAAGCAAAGCTTACTGGGAATCTTGGGGCTCGGCTGGGCCAATCGTGGCATAAACTGTGGTTGAATGGAGGAGCTGAGAGAATGAGGCCATGGAACTAGGTTCCCCTGCAGGATAAAACCACAGAGAGCACAGAGGCCCAGCTATAAATGCCAAAGCCAAGTTGCCACTGGACCATATGCTCCTCAATACAAGGTCCTCTAGGTGCACCAGGAAAGACCTCCCACCCCCTACACACACAACTGTGAGTAGGTCTCTTGTAACAATCTTAATCTTACTGGAGTGTATTCAGATGTTATCTGTCCTGTTGAAACCTTCAGGTAGGATCTGCCACTTAGTGGGGCTGGGGGGACATCAATCACCTAGGGAAGATGTGGGTCTTTGAACAGGAAGCCAGACCTTTGAAATCAGTCTTGGCAGTAAAGGAAGTCCCTTAAGACAGCAGTCCCCAACCTTTCTGGCACCAGGGACTGGTTTTGTGGAAGACAAGTTTTCCATGGACTGGGGTGGGAGTGGGGGGGAGGGGATGGTTCAGGGCTCAGGTGGTGATGCGAGCAGTGGGGAGCGGTGGGGAGCGGCAGATGAAGCTTCGCTCGCTCGCCTGCTGCTCACCTCCTGCTGTGCAGCCCGGTTTCTAACAGACCTCGGACCGCTACTGGTCCGCAGTCTGGGGGGTGGGGGCCCCTGCCTTAAGACCTTACTTTCCTAGGCTAGATTTGGGGTAGGAGAGGCATGCTGAGGGCACTTGAGGGCCCTGCCAAAAGTGGAAGAGGGGTGTGCCCTTTCCCTCCCCCGCAGGCTGGGGGCTGGGCTCAGAGGCAAACTGGAGAGGGTCACAAGCTGCATCATCCCATCCTAGGGACTGTCTTCCTTTCTTTTCTGTCATCCCTGAGCCTTGAGGAAAGCCGTGTCTGGATGTTCCAGTCTAGTCTCAGCCAGGCAAGAGGAATTATGACAACGCCTCTGGGTCTGCCCTTAGGCCCGAGAAGGAGAGGAAGCCCAGCACCACCGCCCAGCCCCCGCCCCTGGAGCTGGGTCGCGGTGGTAGCAGGAATACTGCGCAAAGTGAGTACCTGAGGGCTACATTTGGGGGTGAGGCATCCTTTTGCTGCACCCCACCCCAGTTACTGATTTCTGAGAATCCAGATGGTGGAATGGTGGATTGCCTTGCAGGACTTCAGTAACCGTATGTTGAATGAACAGAACTTTGTCGAAAAGGAAAATCAGTACTTCTAGGAACAGGCAAATCAGCATGAGTTGTGCCTGAGAGGTATTGGAAATGTCCCAGAAGGTGGCTGAGGCCCAGGGATGGGGACTCAGGCAGTTGGTAGCAGGGAAATATGGCCCCAGCCATATAGACAACATTACAGGGCACTCCAATCTCTAGGAGGGGTACCCCCAAGAGCAGGGCTATATCCTGGGAGCACAATGAAGAAAATGAATAATAATGTAGTAGTTCTATCAAGGAACTTAAAACTATAGTCCTGAGGGACCAGAGTACTGACTGAGGCCGAACCTCAGGCACACAGAACAAGGACACAGCTCAGAGATAAAAGCCTGTGATCTGTGATCTGAGGATCTATCCTCAAGCTGTTGGGTCACCAACATCCATGAGATGTTACGGAAAAACCGGAACAAACTTTTTGACTAACCCAATACATCAGAACAGAGGTGAGTGTCAGATTCCGATTCCACAAACTCCAATGAACCGGCCCAAATCTTTTTTCTGGCCTGGAACTTAGTTATTTAAATAAGTGAATCTGTTTTTACATAGGCAAACTTGCCTTCTTAACAAGAATAGTCAAAAAGAAAAAAAAAAAAGAATAGTCCATGTCTCAGTCAGTTTTAACATTATCCATAAAAAAGATTAACTTAGATGGCCAGGCAAAAATAAGCTTTTTATTACTATTAGTTGTTTATAGAACAATCATTAAAATTAACTTTAATCACTAAAATTAACTTTAGGGCTTCCCTGGTGGCACAGTGGTTGAGGGTCCGCCTGCCGATGCAGGGGACACGGGTTTGTGCCCCGGTCCGGGAAGATCCCACATGCCGCGGAGCGGCTGGGCCTGTGAGCCATGGCCACTGACCCTGCGCATCCGGAGCCTGTGCTCTGCAATGGGAGAGGCCACAACAGTGAGAGGCCCGCATACCGCAAAAAAAAAAAATTAACTTTATTAATTAACCTTATTAACTTTATTAATATAGACATTTACAAACATAAAGTGTGCTGTGCTGAAATTAGGAATTACTGGAGTTTTCTGATAACTTTGCCTTCTCATTATCTAATAGCAAAAATGGTTTCATTCATATATGTTGCTGCAATGTAATTAGGTATATTTAACAAGATTCACAGAATCATAGCCTTCTAAAATGTTTTGGAACTATAGCTTTTATTATAAACTCTTATTTCACACTGTTCACAATTGTATTTAGAATAATATATCATGGCAGAAGCTAATGATAACTCATTCAATAAAGTAATCACATATGCCAATTAATGCCCCATCATGTAAGCAGAAAGGTCTGAAATTTCCTTTTGAAGGTGTAATTTTATTTAACTATCACACACTTTACAAAATAACTTGTTCTTCCAAAATCAGAGGGGCAAGTGACATGCTTCTGAGGCACTTCCATAGTACAGCGGTCTGAATTAAATAAGGAAACAGACCTGCTCCTTTTGACCGCTCTCCATTATCCTCTAGTTGCCCAATTCTGTGAATAGGCAGTTACACAAATCTAAAGAAGTCAGGTCTTTCTGAAAGTGGTTGGGACACAATCTCATGCATGTCAATCTCCCGTCATTTGCCAAAGGTGCAGGTGGGTACCTTATCTTTGTTTATTAAAGGGTTCCTAAGACAGGAAATTGGATCCCTAAGACAGTAAACTGAGATTTTCATATCACTGAAAAAGCCTCTGGGGAGTTTGATACATAACAAAGAGAGGCTTCAGGAAGGTTTATGTAAACCTAACATTTCGACTCTGATTAGAGATGAAGCCAAAAGTGAAATCTTGTTTCCATTGAGCCCAAGGATTTTTTTTTTCCCCACCTCTGAAAGGTCAGAAAATACTTTCAAACTCTTTAAAAGTGGACATTGGAGTCTATTTCTAGAATAGCTAAATCAGCTAGCTTGGCTGATGGATCTGTGCTGCTAATGGCTCATGAAGTTAGGCAGGAAAAAGTACAACCAAGATATTTGGTGGTTTCTTTATTCAGTACCCAGAGAGAAGGGCTTTATAAAAAAGAAGAGTGTCATAACTCCACTAGGCTAATTTTCTGATCTTAACGTTTCCAACCATATAGAGAATGTCCCAAAAGTCATAGAAAAATGTGTGCTTTAATAACCTCAGTTGTATAATTGCAGCAAACTTGTGAAAAACATACATCATTTGGAGGTTTAGTTGCCTACATTCCATACTTCTTTCATTTTGTGACCTTTCATTATACATGCTTAGTTGTTGTTGAAGTACCTATGTTTGAAGATGGCAAACAACAAATGTTTTTAACTTATTAGAGTTTAAAACTGCACTAAGACTTTATGATTCCCAGCCTGAGTCCCTATCCTAACTCCTTTCACCTGATGACATTTACGCTCTGAAATTTATTAAATTTATTAAATTGTTTCCTTAAAAGTAAGTTCTCCTCTTGTTTTGCCATATCCTCAGAGCAAAGCTGGTTGAATATTTCTCTGACTTAGTTTCTTACAGCTCTCTCAACTACACATCACTGGAGATGTGACTTCTTTTGTGAAAAGTACAGAGGCACACAGTTCTCAGACTCTTGTGTTATAGAAAGAAATCTCAGCCTCTATGTGTGATGTCAGTACTACTGAAAATGACTGGGGGCAGTTCTGTGAACAACGAGATGGTCATATTTTAATAAATTGCCACACATTCATCCAGTTAAAGAAACCTGTCTTGACTCCAGGTGTTTTCTCTCCTTCTCCCTGATCAAAGTTATTTGGGTTTTTATCTGTGACTTCTCGTGTTTTTATAAGGCTCTCATATATTTCCTGGGCTCTGGCAATTTCTTTCTGTGCATTAAAATGGACTTTTTGCCTGGTCAGAAGGGGAACAATTAAATTGAAGTCATTAATTCGCTTGTTTAGTTTTTTGATGTTTTCTTGAAACTGCTCACAAGCTTGGTTCCACTGTTTCTGTTCAGTTGGTGTCATTGGATTCCCAAGTTTTTTCCTTGACACTAAAATTGCCTCTCTGAGTTGATCAATAGTATCCTTTATTTCCTTTTGCATTAGGATCCATTCTGGTTGGTATCCATTATCTATCAGTATTCTGTTCAGGTTGTGAGTCATGGGATCAATATATGAACAGCCAGAAAATTTTTTTAGAGGTTTTCCTTTCCCACTGAGATTGTCAAAGTCTCCTTTTGCCATTGATTCCTGAATGAGATCCTCCACCAAACGTTCTATTGCTTGAGTTATCTTTTGATCCTTACTGTGTCTTACATCTTTAACAGTTACACTATTGGTGAAATACTGGCTTTGCAGTTTCTGCTTTTGGTATTCCATCACTTGCTCCGTTGCACAGTCTGCTCTAAATTGCCTATACTGCTTCTCTCGTTGACTTGGAGTCCCAAAACCAATACCCTCAAAACTTAAATAATGCCGGTGTTGGGGTGTGTTATATTTGAATTTTTTTTCTTCTTCTGTTTCTTCAACTTTACTCTGTCTGGCATTTGTTTGTTCTATCACATGGGAAAGCACCTTCCTATAAGCTTCTTCTATCCTTATAAATGTTGCAGAATCAGCAGTATTAGAGCCACCATCTGGATGGTATTGCTTGGCAAGCTTATGAAAAGATTCCCTGACGTCATCTGCAGAGCATCCTTCATCCAGATTCAGCAGCCTATAATATTCTCTCATATTCTTTTTGGATTTATGAGTTGACATCATTCTAGTTCTAATGACACCAAGATATGGACCCATTTTCATTCGATTAGGAATCACTGAAGCATTTATCAGATGAGATCTTAAGATTTGAGCCATCATCACATACACTGTGTTCATTATTGTACCCAGAGTTCTTCCTAGCAATGATCTATAAAATGACAACAAATATAGGGTGAAGACAGTTGTATTATCAGCTAAATTCATATTTTCAGCAATAAGGATTAAATTACAGTACAACAAGGGGTAGTTCTTTCTAATGCTGCTGCCAAAATTCTTGTAGCTATATTCTATTTATGTTAGCAGAGAAATGGAAGTTGATGATGCTTTGCATTAACATATTATGATATAATCTGGATTCTACTCCTCACTAACTAACCACAGAATTTTAGAGCTGGCAAGTTCTGAGAGATCATCTAGTCCAATCTTCTCATTTTGTGAGAAAATGTAGGCCCAGAAGGTTAAGCAACATAACCAAGTCCCACAGCAAGTTGTAAGCAAAATGGTTAGGGTTAGGGCACAATAAGCCCCTTGCTTAATTGTCTGTATCCCCAGCAGATTATAAACTTCATTGGCACCACCATTTCTTTAGTTAGTGAGTGTATCATTGTCTTTATCATCCCAAGGAGTCCTGTCATGAGAAGACATACGTGAAACAATCAGAGAACATGACAAGGTATGTACCTAGTCTGACACTAAATTGAATAGAATCAAGTGTCCAAAAGACTTTAAGCTCTACAGCTTGTTAGGAAGGAGCTATCTGCTGCATGCCGGAAAACCAAGATGAAAGGTGAGGCCTCCCAATATGTTCGCTATTATTTTTAAAATGCACGGTATAGGGCTTCCCTGGTGGTGCAGTGGTTAAGAATCCGCCTGCCAATGCAGGGGACACGGGTTCGAGCCCTGGTCCGGGAAGATCCCACATGCTGCGGAGCAACTAAGCCTGTGTGCCACAACTACTGAGCCCATGAGCCACAACTACTGAGCCCATGTGCCACAACTACTGAGCCCATGAGCCACAACTACTGAGCCCATGTGCCACAACTACTGAGTCCACGTGCCACACTACTGAAGCCTGCGCACCTAGAGCCCGTGCTCTGCAACGAGAAGCCAACGAGAAGCCGCAATGAGAAGTCCGTGCACTGCAACCAAGAGTAGCCCCCGCTCGCCAGAACTAGAGAAAGCCTGCAGGCAGCAACAAACACCCAACACAGCCAAAAATAAATAAATTTATTTAAAAAAAAAACAACACGGTAGGGCTTCCCTGGTGGCGCAGTGGTTGGGAGTCCGCCTGCCGATGCAGGGGACGCGGGTTTATGCCCCGGTCCGGGAGGATCCCACATGCTGCGGAGCGGCTGCTCCCGTGAGCCATAGCCGCTGGGCCTGCGCGTCCGGAGCCTGTGCTCCGCAACGGGAGAGGCCACAGCGGTGAGAGGTACACGTACCGCAAAAAAAACACCCCAAAACAAACCAAAAAAAAGCACGGTATAGTAGAGGGGAAAGTCTTGTACACAGATAATGGCAGTGAAATGCTGGAAGTGGTTTAACTGAAAACAGTATTTTGATGTATAAACGCTAAAACTGAGCTCCTGGGGACTCCAATTTTCCGGACAATTGGGGTCTGGGGGTTTGAGTTGATTGGGATAGTAGTGATTGTGCGAACTGTGGCCGTCGCGGGGGAGTGGTCAGTCCCAACCCGGGACACGCCCCGCCCCGCCCCGCCCCCTACTCACCTCAAATGCTGGGAAGGGGCTCAGCAGCTCCCGCCCCCATGCTACGCCTGTGCGCATGCGTGGGCGATGGGCCCCCTTCACTTCTCAGGCTTACCCGCGGTGGCTGGGGGCAAGTGTCTCCGCTGGACTAGACCACCTGCGTTTTACACTGAGGGAACCCTCGGGGTGCGGAGGGCAGTATTATACCTAAGAGGAACAGATGTCCTACCTTATCAGGGAACCCTACAATCTCTTTCAAAACGAACTCTTCCCAAGAGGCCACGAGCAGGACATTTCAAGATGATACGCCCCGCCCCAGACAATCTGCTCCGCCTCCGCCCCCACCTCGAGTGGGAGGTGGATCGATCGACGGGGATTCTGGGAGCTGTAGTTTGCCGGGAAGTGCGGCCCGCGCAGAACTCTGCTGCGCGCCTGCGCCTGCGTCTGCCAAGAGGAAGGCCGCGGGTAGAGCCGGGCTCCGAAAAGGTCGCCGTGGAGGTGGTGGAGACATATAGGAGTTATCATAGGCGAATGTAGGTTGGGATCCTTCAAGTCCTAGTGGGTCGGAGGGCAGTGGCCCTCGGTAGATTGTTTTTTGAGGAGGGAAAGACAAGTTCGTTTCCCCGAACAGGACCTGAACAGCCTCTTCGGGTCTGCAGCCGGGGACACCAGCACAGAGACGAGGAAACTACCCAGCCCAGAAAGATCTAGCTCACTCGGGTTAGAAACCTAGTCTTTCATTAGTTCAAGAACGTAGTGAGCAGCTCACTCTGCCTGGCGTTGGTAGGGGGTAAGCACAGTCGAAGACAATTAAATTAGGTGTTTCCTGGCTTTAAGTTCAGCCACTATCATGGGGATTTACTTTTCCCGCCTACTGTACGAGGAGATAATTGTAAAAAAAGAAAGAAGAAAGAAAGCGGCAGAAACTTGGGGAGTCAGACCTGAGTTGAAAATCCTGTTGCTTACACTTGCCTTTTTTCTGTGTCTTTATCTGTAAAATGAAGGTACCAACAAATGGTAAACTGTATTTAGCAGTTACTTTTGGCCAAGCACTGTGCTAAATGCTCTATGTATAGTCTTTTCAAATCCTTACAACAGACCTGTGAGGTAATTGCTATTGTTTTCCCCATTTTACTGATGATGAAATAATAATTGCAGTGAACTCACTGAGTTTTTGTAAGAATTACACAATGTACGTAACCCACTTTGCACAATGCCTGGCACGTTAAATATTTTTGTTATGATTGTGTCTCCTAAAAGAAGCCAGAAATAGGTACTAGCCTAGAAAGGCTTCTGAGTTATAGACAGTGTAATAATTTGTTACCTTCTATGTAGGTGTGCAGAAAATGGTTAAATTCTTATTCAGAAGTATTTCCTTATAAGCAAACAATGAGCATAGAAGAACTCCTGTGCAAAAGAAAATGTTTCTACAAGTTTTAACTCTTCTAGCCAACATTTTAGACAAAGCTGTAAAAGGGTAAAAAAGCACAAACACAGTTTTAGAAACTACCCGTACTTATATAGCACTTTGCATTTTACAATGCACTCATCACAAATGCCATTTTGATGTTCGCATCTTGTAAGTAACTATACTTTAACCGCGAGCAGTTAAGTGACTTGTTTAAGTGACTAGACTCTGTAAGTTACTGGGACTCAAGTCCATTTCTGTTTTCAGAATTTCAGTTCTATAGTGTGATTCTGTACATGTAGATGGTAAATTGGAGTCAGCTGAGTTATCAGTAAAGCACGCTTTCAGCTGCAAAGTGTAAATTAGCTAACTGACTTGGGGGATTATTTTTCTTATTTATATGAAATGGTGGAGGTATGCAGTTTCTGGTATTGGTTCAGCTACCAAGAGTTGCTTTACCATTTTCTCTCTTTCTCCATGTATGTATTTCTTTCTGAATATTTTAAAGTAATTGCATATATTATGTTCCTTTACCCAAAGTACTTCAGTATTTAAAAGTAATTACATGTTTTACGTCCCTTTACCCTAAAGTACTTAAGTATTTGTTTCCTCAAAACAAGGGCGTTCTCTTACATCATCCTAGCACTGTTATCAAATTCAGCAGATTTAACATAGATACAATATTATTATTTGGTTTTTTGGGCCATGCCACATGGCTTGTGGGATCTGGGATCTTAGTTTCCCTCACCAGGGATGAAACCAGTGCCCCTGCAGTGGAAGCGCAGAACCCTAACAACTGGACTGCCAGGGAATCCGCAACCCATGGACTTTTTTTTTTTTCTTTTACCGGTACGCGGGCCTGTCACTGTTGTGGCCTCTCCCGTTGTGGAGCACAGGCTCCGGACGCGCAGGCTCAGCAGCCATGGCTCACGGGCCCAGTCGCTCCGCGACATGTGGCATCTTCCCGGACCGGGGCATGAACCCGTGTCCTCTCTATCGGCAGGCGGACTCTCAACCACTGCGCCACCGGGTAAGCACCCCCAGGGAAGCCCCCCATGGACTTTTAAGTCAGCAGGTCTTCCTCAGTTTAGTTATGGGAAGAAAGAGTCCACCATTTGAAAATATAGTTCTCATTAAAACAGAAAAAAAAACAAATAAAAGAATTAAAATATAGTTCGTTTCTTTTGTTTTTTTGGCTGTGTTGGGTCTTTGTTGCTGTCTGTGGGCTTTCTCTAGTTGCGGCAAGTGGACTTCTCATTGCAGTGGCTTTTCTTGTTGTGGAGCATGGGCTCTAGGCATGCAGGCTTCAGTAGTTGTGGTTATGTGGGATCTTCGCAGACCAGGGCTCGAACCCTTGTCTCCTACGTTGGCAGGCAGATTCTTAACCACTGCGCCACCAGCGAAGTCCTAGTTATTTTCCTTGTAGAAGGTGCCTGCATACTCTGCAGTCAACAGTCCTAAAGATTATAAGAAGTGATCAGAGGATCAAATTTAGAGTCAGAACCAAACACGTATGTTGACTAGCATTTTTTTTTTTTTAATTTTGGCTGTGCCGCTTGTTGGCAGTTCCCTCGGCCAGGGATTGAACCCAGGCCACGGTGAAAGCGCCGAATTCTAACCACTAAACCACCAGGGAATTCCTGGTTGACTAGCGTTTTTAATGTGATCATGCTACCTCGCTTATTTGAACTCCATAGACTATTTTTTTAAAGATTTATTTATTATTTATTTTATTTATTTTTGGCTGCATCAGGTCCTAGTTGTGGCATGCAGGATCTTCACTGAGGCATGAGGGATCTTTTGTTGTGGCGCGCACGCTCTTCATTGTAATGCGTGGGCTTCTCTCTAGTGGTGGCGTGCGGCTTTTCTCTCTCTAGTTGTGGCACGCAGGTTCCAGGGTACGTGAGCTCTGTAGTCCGCAGCACACGGGGTCTAGTTGAGGCACATGAGCTCAGTAGTTGTGGCGCACAGGCTTAGTTGCTCCGCAGCGTGTGGGATCT